TAAAGTCACCCCGACCAATTTATCTCAACTGAAAAGGACATTGCAAATTTTATTAAGACACGGAGACTCTTATTGTGCTGCACTCTTTCTTTATTTTCCTCAGCAGCAAAGAAAACACTTTAACAATGATTTGAACACAGGAAACATTAATTAACATAGATCTTGCTTGGCAACCAATCGGCCAATCAGGTTCCACTCTTCAGCATAATATGCGGTATTCCTTTGACACTTTCCTCTTTCTTTGCTGCTCCCTCAGTTAAGTACACTGATCCCATAGTTCTTAACTGTGGGATTGTTATTATTATTATCATTATTTTATTGTTATATTATTGTTATTTTTACAATTATTATTATTAGTAGTAGTATTCTTATTACACTGATTACATTTATTTAGTATTATCGTTTTATCTCTTTAATTGCTTTATTAAGTTACTACATATAAACTGCTTTTATATCTCCTGTAATTTTGCTTTGGTACTGGGTTCCCTATATTTCTTTGTGGGGCACCGGGAGGAGAACATATTTTTCTCAATCCTTCTAACGTTTTACTTTTTTTCTTGTCTTTCGGCACTTTCGAGACCTTTTTCGTTTGATGTGTAGCGGTCTTCTGTTCCTCGGTTCGAGCAGCAGTGCCATTCGTCAAGTCTGCCGTTCAGCAGTTTTCTATCATTCACGAGTTTTTCACTCTGTCTGTGGCTCGCGTTTGCGTATATTTACCGTTCGCTGAGTTTTTCACACAGTTTGTCTATTTACCGTTCGTGAGTTTTATCAACATTCAAATTGTTTTTCATACGAACGGGCTATTCGCAGAATTTTGCCGTTCGACAAAATTTAGCTGACTTTTTCTCCTATAACCTTGCCCCTTACGATTTCCCCTTGTTGGGGTTTAGTATTCTGGCTAACGGACTGCTTTCTCTCTCTCTGTGATGTTTATCTAACTGTAAGTGATTTGTTTTTTCCCTTTACAGTATTTTATCCCTATTCTAGGTTACTAAACCCTATAACTAGGTATACTCTACTATATTGCAGGTTACAATAATTTCACTCACTATGCAGTCTGACAAGGACCAAACTTTGGCTACTGGGTCACAAGTGACCCCTCAGATTTCCCAGAGTAATTCGGTGGAAAGGACTATGTCCCCTGATTTATCCACTACTGCGGACATACAGGCGCTACTCAGCGCCTCGGTATCCCTATCCATACTGCAGGCTATGGTCTCTGCTATGGGCTCTGTGATGACATCTCTGTCGAAAAGTATTGCCCAGGCCATTTTACAAGCCCATCAATCTGCGCAGCAGACTGGCACGTCAACTGCCTCTAGTGTAACACCGGTCCCCCAAGGTCGCAAAACTACGGCTAAGACCAAACACTCCTCCAAAACTACATTGAGTGACAGTCTCACTTCTGTCTCAGATGGCGCACAACCAACACCGCGCAAAAGAGCCACTAGCCGGGCAAAATCGGCTAGATTGTGGGAGCGGGCGAGAGCCCAGCTAGACTCGTCTGAGTCAAAACTCGATGAGTCAGATAAGGACGCTTTGGAGAGTCAGTCCGAATCAGACTCCGACGGTGCATTGGGAGAGGATTCCGCCTCCTCCTTCAGCACCTTCCCCGTGATGTAGTCAGGGGCCTAGGTAAGTCTGTCGGGGTTTGGTGACAACTCTAGGATTTTAGATCTTTGGGAGGTACCCCTTTTCGACCCTGATGAGCTCAGACACCCCTGCTCAGCGGAATGGTGTCCCTCGGAACATGAGACGAAATACATCACCACCAGAGTGCGTAAGCCCGTAGACAAGGCTACCAGAAATAAACTGAGGGCAGAATGCCCCCATCCCGCCGTCCCAGATGACGGTTTGCAAAACGCCCATTGTGGACCCCAAAATTGCCCAATTCTTTGGGAAAACCGGGTGGAAACCTAGGAAGGGCCTCGATTTTGCCCTGACTAATTGCCAGGATAGGGCTTTGGACATATTGGGCCCTGCGGCAAAAATATTCGAGGCGGTCGAAGACAACCGGGACCTGGACAGGGATGTCATCCGTGGATGGATCCAAAGGATCATTTGCCTAGTGGGGAATGTAAATTTGGCGCTGGTTACAAAATCAAGCCAAAGCTAGTCAATCTAGCGATTAATGAGCCAGGTGCCCAGGCTAAAGTGCTTTTATTTGGTGACTCATTTGTAAAGGAATTAGGGTCTTTCATGCATACCTTTACGGCCCTAGATAAGGCACAGAATAAAATGCGCAAGATGTTCCACCAAAAGGTTTTTGCCGGGGCCGGAAGAGGTAGGAGCCGTCTGTCCAGCCGTATTCAGAGAGGTTCATACAGACAGAACCAAGGTTCCTATACCGGAAGAGCTGGATTTCAAGAACAGGGGGCCGCACCAGCTTTTTTCCCCCAAAGAGGCAGACCCTGGGTCGCTAGGGGCTTCCGAGGAGCTCCTTCTGGATGACGACCTTATGGTATGTATCTACTCTTCTCCTTCTTCCCTTCAAGTTGTGTGAGGCTGACTCAGACATTTTCCCATGTGTGGTCGCATCTGACATCAGATGCCTGGGTCCTGCAAGCTGTAACAGGGTAATGCATAGATTTTGTGTCACGTCCGACCCAACTCTTCCTACCCAGAGAGATTGTTTTTTCCCAACACGATGCTATCCTCGTGTCCAAGGAAATCCACGATCTGATGCGCAAACAAGCCATCACAGAGATCCCATTCAATACACCGGGTACCTCAGCAACCTCTTCCTGGTACCCAAGAAAGGCGGAGGAACGAGGCCGGTCATAAATTTGAAACAATTGAACGCCTACGTGTCCTATCATCATTTCAAAATGGAAGGCATACATGCGCAACCTTCTACAACCCAAAAACTGGATGGCCAAGCTAGACATACAGAACGGGTACCTCATGTTATCTATATCGGACAGATACCAGGATTCTCTCCAATTCACGTGGAAAGGAAGGAAATGGAGGTTCACATGCCTCCCGTTCGGATTATCATCAGCCCCAAGGTGTTTCACAAAAGTTATGAAACCCGTGATTGCTCTGCTTCGAAGTCGAGGTGTTCGGCTTATCATCTATCTAGACAATATCCTCCTTCTAGCTCAGTCTACCGACCTTCTCCACACACATCTCACATGGACTCTGACGCTATTGCAAAACCTTATAAATTGGGAAAATCTATCCGAACATCGGCTCAGAACGAATTCCTAGGACTATTGATCGACTCCACTTTGCAAACGCTACACCTCCCAGCGTCCAAATTATTGAACATCAAAAAAGAAATCAGGTGCACGTTGGCCGTTCCCCAATTCTCTCTCAAACACCTGGCACGAGTCATCGGACTCCTGGCGGCTTCCATCCAGGCCATATTCTCAGGCCCGCTCCACTACCGAGCTCTACAACGACTTCAAGCCTCTCATCTCGGAGGCGGAGCATCATACAGAGATATGGACATGCTAGACAAAGAAGCGAACTTCGCTGGTGACTCCTCCACATGGAAGCATGGAATGGACACGCTATCTTCCGAACAACCCCAGATCTGATTATAGAATCAGATGCGAGGTTAAACAGCTGAGGAGCGTTGTGGAGATATCTCCACGGGAGGAAGATGGTCGGACCTCGAAATTACACTGCATATCAATTGCTTAGAGCTTTTAGCCGGAGGCTCGAAATCCAAAGTGCTGGCAAACATTGCACGCGACTTCTGGCAATTCTGCCTTATGCACAATATCTCTGTGACAGCGAAATATATCCCCGGACTTTCCAACACCCCTGCGAACTGGTACTCCAGACACATCAGGGACTTCAGCGACTGGCGTCTGGACCCTTTTACATTCAAGAGCATCACAGATACCTGGAGACCTCTGGGAGTAGACCTCTTTGCCTCCCAGTTGAATGCTCAACTCCCTTGATTCTACAGTTGGAGACCAGATCCTTCGGCTCTCGCAACGAATGTCTTCCTTCAAGATTGGGCCACGGAGACGAATTACGCATTCCCTTCGTTTGCACTGATTCCCCGTTGCCTTCTACATCTATGGTGCCAAAAGGGCTCATTGGTAATTGTAACTCCCCTATGGCTGTCTCAACCATGGTTCCCTCATCTACTGGAACTGTCGATAGACTTCCCCTGCCTTCTCACATCGTACAATGCTCTTCTTCAGGACCCGGATGGACAACCTCACCCCTTAATCCTCCCTGGCCTTCTCCGACTTATGGAGTGGCTGATTTCAGGGGACCTTGGTCAATCGAAGGCGTTCCGCAATCAACTCTCAGACTTCTCGAGAATGCATGGGCACCCGGCACGAGACAGGCTTATAAATCTGCTTGGAATGCATGGAATGGTTGGTGCTTGGGAAGAAATCTGGATCCCTTATCAGCTCCTTTGACAGCCATCCTACAATTTTTGACCTCACTTTTTGAAGCAGGAAAAGCGTACCGCAAGTTAAGCTCTACCATTTGGCGCTTTCCACTGGACGTCAAGGCATGGATGGGACCCCCATTGGACGTCACCCCTTTGTCTGTCGCTTCCTACGTTGAGTACGATTTTCTCGTTCACCGCTCCCTCGTTACGCTACACTCTGGGATCTTTCCCTTGTCCTTCGCTTTCTAATGTCATGGCCAGACAACTCTTCATTATCACTCAAACAACTGTCAGCAAAATTAGTCATGCTTTTCTGCCTTATCTCATGCAAAAGAGTCTTGGACGTACGAGCTTTGGATACAGACGCTCGATCCTTTACACTAGAAGGCGTTCTCTTCGATGTCTCTAGAAGGACCTAAACGTCTTCTAAGTCCGTACTGTACCGGGCCTTTCCACAGAAACCTCTATTGTGTCCAGTGGCATACTTAAGGGAATACGAAATCCGTACAGCTCCGCTCCGAAACCCCATGAGACCTCAATTATTTATCTCTGTCCGTAAACCACATGTTCCAATATCATCCCCCTCTCTGGCCAGATGGGTCAAATAGATTAAGATATTGGCAGGCATCGTATCGATGGCTCCACGAACAGAGTGTGGAGAGAACATGGAAGTATCTTCCATGTTCTCTCCACACTCTGTTCGTGGAGCCATGGCCTCAAAAGCCTCCACGGTAGGATGTCGACTGGAGGATATTTTACGTGCTGTCTTCAGAATCCACTTTCTGGAACTTCTACTTCAAACCAATCGAACACTCTGCTGGATCAGTTATATCACAGCTTTAAACCAGCATAATAGGAGCCTCCATGTCTTAATAAATTACCAGATTTTACTATTTACATGATGTAAAGTCATAATTTTATTAACAACACGGATACGAGTATTATCCCTCCCACCCTTCTTTTTACCTGGGTAAGTTAGTTACGGTAAGTCCTTAAGTTCGGATTTGCTCACTAGTAAGGTGATTTGGTTGATTTTGCATGCTGCTATTCACATCGTGCAGATTGAATAAATATTGATTACAATAGATATTGCCTAGTCACGTATGATTTCAATAGATATTGCCTAGTTTTATACTTGATATTACCATATTCTATTCTCTCTTACAGCTTATCTGATGACATCGTTCCTTATTTGAAACCCTTTTTCGTTTGGCGATACAGGATGGCGATACAGGTTCAGGATCGCAAGAACGAGGAAATTGTCAAGGCAATACCGCCTATTACGCTGGAGAGTGGAACCTGATTGGCTGATTGGTTGCCAGGGAAGATCTATGTTAATGACTGTTTCCTGTGTTCATATCATTGTTAAAGTTTTTTCTTTGCTGCTGAGGGAAATAAAGAAAGAGTGCGGCATAATACTTGCCTCCATGTTGTTAATAAAATCATGACTTTACGTCATGTAAATAGTAAAATCTGGTAATCAGACTAAAAAGGCCAAGCTGAAACATTAGCTGCATTAGAGAATCTTTTCACAACACTAAAATGCAAAAAAGCATCTGTACTACCAGGTAGTGTGCTGTGAGCATTTGATCCCTCTTCGCAATTAAAACATTGTCACAAGCTAGTTTGGACAGCACAAGCGTACAGAACGCCCCAAAATGTCAGAAGACATGGAAAGTGGAGTAACTGTCACTAACATTTTAGGATATGTTTAAATGTTGTAGTTATTATTATTAGTAGTGGTATTATTCATATAGCGCCAACATAATCCGCATTGCTTTACAATTAAAGAAAGGGGATATTTAGAGATGAAGGCCTTGCTCAAACATACTATCTAGTAGGATTTGAGGTAGGCAGAAATAAATTGTTAAATGACTGGCTAAAGGAAACTTACCTGTGATGCTACCACCACTGTAACCAGATGATATATCTTGAAGTGGTTATGGTACTTGGAGTGTACCTTTAAAGCAGTGGTTCCCAAGCCTGTCCTCAGGGTCCAGCAACAGTCCAGGATTTACACATTTCCCTTATATATTCCAATTGACATACTGTTAAAACTTGGCCTGTTCCTGGGTAATGAAGATTGTTTTGGGAACCACTGTTTTAAATGGATGAAGAGCAATGTATATTATAACAAACAGATAACTTGGCCTGTCTCAAGACCTGACACACAAGCATATGAGTCCCCTAATGTTACTTGCCCCGCACCCTAAAGCACCATTTCATTTTCGGAAACTTCAAAGAACATGTTTTCTATTCCTTATATTTCTAACCTGACTTTACCCTTTGCTATTTTCCTTCTATGACTCTCTCTTTTTTTTTATCAGAATCTTCTCTTACCATACACCCTGCCTAGTCCATTTGAGCCTCTAAACTAGATTATAAACATCATGCTGCCATGACCACAATATATAATGAAAGGTAGGGCCACAAAGCATTGCCACGCAATAATAAGGAACTAACAGTAAGCACAACAGGCATCTTATAGGAAGCGAGGAGTAATGTGCAAGGAGCCATAATAGCAACAACAATATAGAGAGAGAATTTGTCATAGAATTACAAAAAGGTGCAATCCCTAAACTGCCAAACAAGTACATTAAAGTGTGATGTCCCCAGAGAAAAGCATATTTCTTTGTGCCGAAACATTGGGTTGTAGTTACACGTATCAAACTCTTATAGGCTGTATGTAAGTTTTTGCTTATCACTATCCCACCTCCTGGACAGCTCACTAAGAATGCAGCTTCACAATGGATGCTGTCCAGGAGGTGGGAGGGTCTGGGAGGGAGGGTCTGCTGCTGATTGGCTGGAATGTGTCTGCTGACTGTGAGGTACAGGGTCAAAGTTTACTCAATGATGAGTCCGTGGCGAACCGTTTGCGGCGAACCATTCGGCGAACAGTTCGGGACATCACTAGTCACAAGACTGCACTTCCTGAAAAGGGTGATGGTGGCCTTGAAGTCACCGAGACAGACCAAGCACATTGTCACGGTTCTCGCCGCAGCAAACAGACAGCCAGACGTGGTCACCCATGGAGTTCCCATCAAGGGACTTTGGTATTCCACATGTCATTCTGGTCCTGTTCATCCTGGCATGTCTATTACTCTGGGGGCTGTACCTTGACTTTGGATGTGCTTCACCTGACCCTGATCAGACATTAGCAGGGTATTTAAACTCAGCCTCGCCCTGTGATCAGCATCAAGTCTTTGATCCTGTTGTGTGCTTTGTACCAGTGTTCCTGTCGTTTGAGCTGCTACTTGTTATTGACCCCGGCTTCTGACTACGTTTACTCTGACCTCTGGCATCCCTTGACTTCGGCTACTCCTCGTTCCTGTCTTCTGGCATCCTTTGACCTCGGCTATCCTTTGACGATCTTGCTGTTTGAGTCCTTGCCTGTCCTGTGACTTGGTACTTCATCCTGCACAACCCCCGTGCACAGACCCACAGGCCGGGTGAATTCTTACCTGACCACCTTGGCCTGTGGCTATCTGCAAGGGTGAGCAACATATCTGCGCTACAGACTCCCAACCCAGGTAAGACCCTGACAAAAGACTTGATCAATATGGAGTCCGCAGAGATGTGCTCACCCCTGTCCCAACCAGTGTCTAGCCTGGCCCGGACTGTTTTGGAGTTGCAGCAAGAAATTTTATTTCTTAAAGACGCAGTACGTCCAGCCCCGGAACCAGCTTATCCTGAACCGTTTGTCATCATGCCCGACCGTTTTGATGGTAGCCGCACATCCTTTCAGTCCTTTAAGATAGATTGTGAGGTGTTGTTTTCTTTAAAGCCTCGAACATATGCCACAGATTTCATCAAGGTCCGAGCGGCTATCAACCTGTTGTCTGGATGCATCAAAGTATGGGCTCACCAAATGTTGCAGACAAAGAGTCCTGTCCTTGTCAGCTGGGAATCCTTCAGTACCACTATGGACTCACAATGCAAGACCACTGTCACCAAGCCAGCTCCACGTACCAAAAAATCTCAGATTCTTCGTAACCAAGAAACCCAGTACCACCACTACACCCCAGTGATGTCTCCTTATGATCCTGTTCCTATGAAAACTCCTGAGGTATCCTGTGTTCCACTCGACCCTGAGGAACCTATGCAATTAGGACTTGTTCACTGCAAAGTGACACCTGAGGAAAGAGACCGTAGGAGAAGCCATGGCCTATGTTACTACTGTGGAGAAAGAGGGCATTTCATCACACTTTGCCCTGTTTGTCCTCCTAGACCTCCAGCTCGCCGACTGGGTACTACTTTCCTCCACCCTGTGTACACTGCACGCCAGCCGTGTCCCCGTTTTGTGACACAAAAGGGTACCCAAACTACTACAGTCAATGTTACCAGTGTCCCTCAAGAACCTGCAACCAGTACCCCTGTGGAATCTCCACCTCCTGCTCCAGAAACATCTAGACCTCTTCCTGATGACACTTCTGCTCAAGCAAGCACCATTACCACTTCCTGCCTTGCCAAAAAGGTTCTGCCACCTGACTGCACGTATGCCTCAAATGGCACAGTTGTATGCAAACAGGATCTGGAAATATTTGAAAAGGCATTGAAAGCTGCGAATACCTCCCCTGTGAGAACTACTAGAGCAAAGGCTACAGTAGGTGCTGCGTTTCCCTCTAATCTGGAAGAAGGCCGTACGTATGGCATGGATGCCTATGGAAGAATGTACCTATTTGATCTCTCAGAGGAGGAAGGTACTTCTGATCTGGAAGGTAATGATGAGCAACCAAATCACACCCGGAGGGTGTTCTTGAAGGGGGGGTACTGTCACGGTTCTCGCCGCAGCAAACAGACAGCCAGACGTGGTCACCCATGGAGTTCCCAACAAGGGACTTGAACCGGGGAACTTCGCAGTCCTGGTCCTGCTTCCTTCCTCTGAGCCACAGCAGCTTTTGTATTCCACATGTCATTCTGGTCCTATTCATCCTGGCATGTCTATTACTCTGGGGGCTGTACCTTGACTTTGGATGTGCTTCACCTGACCCTGATCAGACATTAGCAGGGTATTTAAACTCAGCCTCGCCCTGTGATCAGCATCAAGTCTTTGATCCTGTTGTGTGCTTTGTACCAGTGTTCCTGTCGTTTGAGCTGCTACTTGTTATTGACCCCGGCTTCTGACTACGTTTACTCTGACCTCTGGCATCCCTTGACTTCGGCTACTCCTCGTTGTTCCTGTCTTCTGGCATCCTTTGACCTCGGCTATCCTTTGACGATCCTGCTGTTTGAGTCCTTGCCTGTCCTGCGACTTGGTACTTCATCCTGCACAGCCGCCGTGCACAGACCCACAGGCCGGGTGAATTCTTACCTGACCACCTTGGCCTGTGGCTATCTGCAAGGGTGAGCAACATATCTGCACTACAGACTCCCAACCCAGGTAAGACCCTGACACACATCTCCTTCAGGGTATCAAAACCCAGGAGAATCCCTGACACAGGTCCCATAGATCTGGTGGTACACTTTCAGAGCAGCAGTGACAATGACGCAGTGCAGACAGGTCTCAAGGGAATCTCTTCATACACCTTTGAAAATATGGCACATAGTTACATAGCTGAAAAGAGACTTGCGTCCATCAAGTTCAGCCTACCTCACATTTGTTTTTTGCTGTTGATCCAAAAGAAGGCAAAAAACCCACTTTGAAGCACAATTTTGCAACAAACTAGGAAGAAAATTCTTTCTTGACCCCATAATGGCAGTCAGATTT